GCCTCGTGTTTTATACCCGATAAAACACTCCTGCTCGTTTATTAAACATTACATAATTGGTCAAATTGAAATGTTAAAGATTATTATTATGGTGGTTGTAACCCAAAGTAAATCGTTCATAACAACCAATATTTCAACCATTTATAAACTGGTTGTCTCAGTTCCATAAATTTAACCAATGTTTTTTGGTTGTTTCGATTAGACAGTTTTTACAGTGAATTATTCCTTGATATAGAAAAGTATTATATTTATAAATATTATATATCGTACTATACGCTGATTGGTGATTGGTTGGCTATATAATGGCGTCAATTCCGTTAAGGGACCGGAAACACGTCATGTGTTTGGGTTATATATAACTTGTGTGTTATATATACACTAATTAACTTGATTGCTTCCTTCGGTTTACTCCTTTATTAAACCCTTCTTCTTAGCTCGGCTGCAAAATTAAAAAAGAAAATAATAATAATAATAAATAATAATAATATGCATAAACTGAAGAAAGGATTGTAAAAAATGATGAACTTAACMAGCCTAGACTTAGTCCGCTGGWCAATGTAAACATGATATATACAGACAAATAAAACTTGCCATAATAATAATAAWAAGATGTAACAAAGGCAACACTTTCAAATATATTCTACTTTGAAAACGTTAACTTAGGTTACAGATTTGTTACTCTGATGAAAAAAGGACGAAAAGGACAAAGGAACTTGTTTGAACTTGTTCACATGCTTACCGTAAGATATAGCAAAGACAGCAAAGGAAAAATATAACAACCAGGGCCATAAATGCACCGGCAACTCCAAGGATTATTAAGTAATTACGCCGTCTGACGAGGAGTTCTGAAAAATTATAGAAAATGAGTTGATTTTTGTTGAAAAAGTGTCTCAGAAGAATACTATTTATAATTTTTATAGAAGTATTTGAAGAGAAGGGGTATTATTACCTTGTGCTTGCTGCTCCGTCATGCGATCTGGAAAATAGGGAGGTACTCTATTAGCCACGAATCACGAGTGATAGATGGGTTGATAAATAGTAGAAGAGTGGAGAAAAGATTGATGGTTTGATGGGTTGAATGATGGATGAGTAGAAAATGGGATAGGTTGGAGAATGAATGGATAGATTGAGGGGTAAGTGGAAAGATGGCTGGATGGAATGTTGGATAGAAGGGTGGTTGGATAGAAGGGTGAATTGAATGGTAGTTAGAGCATTAGGTATAAGATATGATAGATGGATAGAAGGCTAAATGGGCAGAATGTAGGATTGAATGGTAGCGCTCTTACTTGGGTCATCGTCCTTGATGGTAACAATTACACATTTTTCTCCTGACGTAAGAGTCGTGTCGTGGTCATAAGTTCCAATGATGACTGAGAAAGTCTCATCGTCTTCTTTGTATTCGTCATCAATCAGATCGACGCTTAACGTCATGTACACTTGACCTGGAAGGAAGGTTCTATTGACTTGGTTCTGTGGCTTGTAGTCTGATTTATCAACTGCTGAGCCGTCTTTTGTACTAAACCTGTTACATCAAAAATACAGTTTTACAGTTCAAAACCGCAAGGAGTATCATAATTGAAATGTAGATAAAGATGAGTGATATTCATTGTCTTACCAGATGTAAGAAGCTTTGTTTAAGACGCCTTCTCTTTTCAAAGTAAAATAGACGGTTTTGTTGCCCTCCATTCCCTCGTTGACCTCGATGCTCTGGTTAGCACATCTGATAAAAGCTGTAAAGTAATGCAGATGAAGAGATAGATATAGTAAACAGAAGAATCAATTTCTCGTTATCTCTCTTGATTTCCCTTATTATACTTTATTGATTGTCAGGGGCGCATAAGCAGGTTTTCTTTCTCGTTATTTTCAGGCTGAAAATCTAGACTGAAAGTTTCTTCGTACAGGATGCCTGTGCCCTAAATATATGTACGTGGTGTATTCTGGACTTTTGACTTCGGTTACAAAGTTCAACCTTCAATTCAGGAGGGGTTATCTTTTGGTTGGCAATTGCTCCCAACAAAATAGATTAAAAAAAAAGAATCACCGTCATGGTATTGTTTGTACCGAAGCTGCTAGACCAGTAGAATTAATTTGAATCAGAAACGATTTATACCATCTTTCTTATAGCCTTGGGTAAGGGAAGGGAGGGTGGAGGAAGGTGGAGGAATAGGTAAAGAAAAATGAGATCGAGGAAAGTCTGACACAAACGTTTATCGCTATGCCTTCCACCCTTCGAACCAGTCCCTGTGGGCTTAAGAATATCATGCGATCGCATTCACTTTTGGTATTCATGCTGTCAAGTCATGCCCTTCCGCCCTCGCCCCATATTACAATTAGGTGTGAAATATTACGAACTGTAACCGTTAAAGCCAAGAAAAGCGGTAAAATGTGCATTTTTATGCAATGTTGTGTCGAGGGCAGCCGTTGGTGCATTCACTTGTCTCATTTAAGTTATATCTCAGAGCCCCTTCCAACGTTTTCTTTAATCCTTGGTTTTCAAAGAAGAATAACACTTATAGAGAATCTTACTTGTATTAGATGTTATGGCCGCTAGCCTTCCCACATGGATATCTTCATTTTCGGTAATGTTGTTTTTGTTTATTTATCCAATCTGGATGTTTGACACGAACGAATGCACAATAAATGCAAGTGAATGCACTTGTGTCAGGCTTTCTTCTTCTCCCCTCCCCCCTCTCCCCTTTCCCCATGGCCCTCTCCTCGAAGGCCTGTACTCAGATACCCTAATCAAGTTTAGGTTATCTAAATCTCCCATCCAGTCTCACCAAGCAATGATGCAAGGCCCTTTTATAGTATTACTTACTGTCATCATTGGTAATAGTAAAGTCGGTACCAGGACATATCATATGTACCCTGTCATCTGATGACGTCACAGACAAGCTAAACGTCTCGTCAGGTTCTAGGACGTTATCATTCACCAACACCACATTTTCTTTTATGCTGGTTTGGTTGGGTGCAAATGTTAAGATTTTATCAATAGCAATGTAGTCTTCACCAGATTGGGCGGTGCCATCAATCGTACGGATTCTGAAAAACAAACATTCACATTCAACGATTCTGCGTAAGAGTGTCTTTTTTGTCACAACCGTAAAACCGTAAAATTTAAAGGACCGAACAGACAAATGGAATTCGGACTCGGAAAATAAACACCAATTTATTTATATTTCCATGCACCCGCATTGGATATCCGCTTACAGCATATTTTTCATATAACTACTATATAAAGTGTTAGATGATAATACAGATATTTTATACCATTTTCTAGTTAATTTGGAGAATTAAAAAAGTAAAAACATAGAATTACAGTCAAAAATTTTCAATCCGTCATAAGAAACGAATCGCAAATATCTAGCTATCTGCCTTAATGGGAAAATCTGCTAATAAGATTTATTTTACATTGCAAGCCATACCTCATTGTGTGGTTGTATTGCAGAGATCCTTCTCGCGTGAACTCCATGAGTACAGGACCTTGTCTGTTCTCGTAAACCCTCTGATGTCCTCTTCGATCTCTGCAGAATATGTTCACTAAAATAATGAAAATTCAAATATCAATCACTCTGTCAGTCAGTCAGAATTTAACCACTCACTAAAATAAAAGCAAGTATAGATCCGTCAGGCAGCCAGTCACTAAAAAGTTTTTTTGGGGGGGCTTCATTTGCAACAAAATTTGAGAATCAAACTGAAATGACTTTAGTCGACTGTGAGTTCAAATATCAATGGATGATTACAAGAATAACAATTAAAGTTCTCTGTGTTTGAGAAGTTGTTGGAAATAAACGAGTTACCAATATACTTAAAATCAAAAGTGGATAACTGATTTATCGAAAGCAAATCGAAACTGATAAAAACACACAAAAAAGAACCAAAAAAATCAAACTGAAATGGCTTTAGTCGACTGTTAGTTCAAATATGAATGGATGATTACAAGAATAACAATTAAAGTTCTTTGTGTTTGAGAAGTTGTTGGAAATAAACTAGTTACCAATATACTTAAAATCAAAAGTGGATAACTGATTTATCGAAAGCAAATCGAAACTGATAAAAACACACAAAAAAGAACCAAATAAAGCTAAGATACATTGATATGCATGATGGTAGTGAGTTTGGTATCTGTATATGAAATAACCAAACTTGCATGATTATAGTCACCAAATGTTACTCGAGCTTGTTTAGTTACGGATACTAATGATATGCTTATTCCTGCCATTGTTCTTAGTTTTTAGGACAGAACAGAACAGACCAGACAGAACTCTTACCGTCATTGCTGGCAATAGCTACAGTAGAAGTTTTACAGTCTGGGAACACGGTACTTCCATCAACASCAGTCAATGAAAGCTGGAAGGTCTGGTCATCTTCTACGAGTTTATCGTTGACTATATTTACTGAGATATTTTTTTCAATCTCCCCAACAAAGAATGTCAAGCGGTGGTTAAGAATCGGTTCTGTGTAGTCCTCTGGAGTAATGGCGGTTTGTGGAGAAGTGTTTATGCTATAATATAAGAACATTAACCATTAGATTAGCAAGCTCTGTAATAAATAAAAAATGTTCACGTGATTCTGCATTTCCCGCCATTTTCCCCGTCACGTGATCATCGAATGCACAGATCACTGAAAGGTTTAGGGCTATGGCCTAGTAGGTATGTTGCAAAGCAAAACCGTATAATCAGCCAATTAGATTGCGAATTTTTTTTTACATAAGAATCAACCATGGGCCAATGCTCCCAGTCCCTGATCAGCAGGAAAGAAATTGCGGACAGAGAAGGAGAAAAGTCATTTAGCTGAAGGTTTATTGTTAAAAAATGTTTCTTCTTTAAAGGTTATGTTGTCCATATAAGACTAGAAATTTACCTTCATCGGTCAGGTTATTGTTCATATTTTAATTAAAGCCAAACCGCTTAAACACTCACACAGCCGACTGTTGAAAAGCTCGATACATTGAAAGGTGATTTAAAAACAAACTCCAAAACTCGTTCGCATTCTGTTTAGGAAGTACCTCAAATTTGTAACCAAGTATGCCTCGTCATTTTAAAGATTTACTGCGAAAACTTCGCACATGATTAGCTACCGAAAGCCAAGTGCATTGGACCGTGCAAAGGCTGATGGGATTGATGGGATACTTTTAGTACACCTTTTGCTGTTCAATAACAGAAAATATACTTTTCTGTTATTCAACAGCAAAAGGTGTAATAGGAAAATCATGCTTTCCGCGCCTAATCAGATCACCCGGATAAAATCAGCTACAGTTCATTTTCTACTCACGTGACAGAAGCGTTTGACACAGTGATTGCTCCTGTCCGTCTGATCGTCAAGTTGACAAATTTATCGTGTTCTTCGTATACTGTAGCCGACGTTCTTGTGAAGCAAAATGTATCTAGAAATTCAAAAAAGTTCTTATTGAAAAACAGTAACTAGAATTAAATGAGCGACATGCACTTCACATAATTTGTTTATGCATACAACAGGGAGATTTTTTTATGTTAGCATCAGTAAATGTATGCGGGTATTATAAAAATCACTTTTTCAAAGATTTGCATCCATATGTTTGTGGGAATCAAGAGAAATAAAGTGTTCGATGTTGTTGTCCTGGCGCATTCTCTCTTCACACTCGCCGTACAACAGTTCCAACAAAAGATGCCACCTGTTGTAGTATACATTTATACATATATCTAATGAGATACAAGATATCAAATGAGATACAAAATTTAAAAAGTAACTTATTTGGAGGTATTTATATTCTATTGTATCATAGACATAAGTATTGCACAAAGTCAAATTAAAAAAAGTATTTTTCACAAAATTTAGTGGTTAAGCAATCGTATTTAAACGTGTTTTACGTTCTGCATCTCATTTGATATCTTGCATTCTTGCATCTCATTATTAGGTATCTGTATAAATGTATACTACAACCTTTCTGCAATCAAGTGTATATATGTATATATATACACTCGATTGCAGAAATGTTGTAGTATACATTTATACATTTAAACATAGTTAATAGAGGGGAATGGTTAGGAAACCTATTGTTATCAGGTCTTTGTTCGCTTTTGATGTTGAACCGGTCTTGACCGTGCACAAGGTTTGATATTTGCTAATCCAAAATTGCAAAATAAGTAAACATAAACTTCGTCTATGGGATTATTGTAAGGAATATTCAAATACCTCTTATAAATCTTTAAGTATTTTGAACTAGCAGTCAAAAGAAAGATTTTGGTCTGTTCACTCAGCCATTGCCAACGATGGTAAAACGATGTTAAAACAAAGAATTGTGCACGGTCACGCTTGAAAAAAGTGAACAAAGACATATAAAAATAGGTTTTATAACCATTCCCCTCTATTAACTATGATTTAAACAAATACCTAATGAGATGCATATTGCAATTTTACTTTTCTAACCCTCAAAACCAATTGATTTATAATCTGTAGGAAAACACGAGAATAAAATATTTTGACGTTCATTGAATGAAACAAATAATAAATAAAGCGAGTTTTCTGTTTTGCATATCATTAAATATACTGAATAAATTAGGTATTTGTATAAATGTATACT